AAACCCGCGTGAATTTTAATGGGGATGTTGTCTTGGGAATTGTACCACGGCAAATTCTATTGGGGATGTTGATTAGGGTAAATTCTCCACGGTGAATTTTAATGGGGATGTTGTCTTGGGAATTGTACCACGGCAAATTCTATTGGGGATGTTGATTGGGGGAAATTCAGCACGGTGAAATATATTGGGGATGTTGTCTTTTGAAATGTACCACGGTGAATTATATTGGGGATGTTGTCGTTTGAATTGTACCACGGCAAATTATATTGGGGATGTTGTATTTTGAATTGTACCACGGCAAATTTTATTGGGGCTGTTGGCGTTGGCGTTGCTAGTTTTAATATTAACTACTAGATGGCGCTAAGTTTAGCGCAGGCAAAATCCAAAACTGTGTATGGGATGGTGAAATTTCAAGTTTTAATATTCACCACTAGCAGAGACACCCTCCAAAAAAAACTGTATTATGATCATATCGAGTGGGGCTAAAGAGATTCACCATGTGAGAAGTGAATATAGCAGAAACACATCTGAAAGAGGTAAGTATCCAAGAAAATCATTTTATCTAGATGGCTCTCAGAATGCTTTTGTATAGTCAACATGCTGATTACTGCAGTCAAATGTGCTTATTAATTTATTTGAAAACATATATTTCAAGAAATCGACTTCAATAAATGTGATATATTATAGAAGAGTTTCAATTTACAAATATCCTGCAATTATTGATATATCAGGGGTTTTAATTTCAGCATAGATGAAAATATAAATGAAAATATAGACAAAGAAATGCTCTCACCGTTTATTGTTGTGAAAAGTACGTAATGACATCGAAAAATTCCGGCATAATCAAGTGAAATTCTTGAAAAACGATAACGAAGTCGAGTGGGTTGAACACGAAAATCAGCATGTTGGCTATGCAAAACATGATGAGATAAAAAGACAAAACTAACTTTTCGTTGTACTTATTTTAATTTGTCTATAATTTTAGCGACTCAAAAATGTTCAGTTATTCCCACCGAAACGATATAGGCGACATCTAACGGTGAGTTCTATCTATACTAACCATAAATTATGTTGTAGCATAGACACACTCCAAAACTATTGAAATATGATCATATCGAATGGGGCTGGAGAGATCCACCATATGAGAAGTGAATATAGCAGAGACAAATTTGGTTAGTATCATAGTCAACAAGAAGATGTGTGTTCTATTATTTTGTCCAGATGGCTCTCCAGTCATTTCCCTCGAAACGATATAGGCGACATCTAACCACCAATTAATGTTGTAGCATATACACACTAAAAAAATGCTGCTGTAGCCAATCAAAGCAAATTCTTCTTGTGTGGACAGGCATTTTGATACATTATATCGATCGCTTTTTGATAGTTTTGTCGATGAAGAATTTGTTTACATTATGTAGCAATTTGAGAGAATTGAAACTGAAAGAGTTTCATGACAAACCCTGCATCAATTCGGTATTGAAGATTGAAGGGATTTGAAGAAGGAAACACCATTGTTTACATTAACTAACAATTGGATTTCTGTGAAATGGATATGAGAATTTGGGGGGAAGCGTTGTTGCAGAGTTTCATGACAAATTCTGCTTCAACGATAGATTGGAGCATGAATGAGAACATGCTTAACTATGCTCAAAATTAAAAACTCTAGTAACTCTGTAATATTGTGAAATTCGCGTTAAATATTCGTATATATAGAAGACAATTTCAAGTAAGGCTCACAGTATAAAATTAAACATTGAAAGTGATATTATGGCGAACGCAGATTTAGTAAACTTATTCAATTCTTTCAGTTATAAAAAAATAATAACTTTGAAAGAAATGGAGGATAACAAAGAATACAACATCCATGGCGCCTTTATTTTATAATAAGAATAGTTAAAGACTAGTTAAAATATAATACACTTATATTTACTTAAAAATTAAACATTTTGTGTTGCGAGAAAATATTAATATGATGACATTTGTAGTGAGTAAAGACAATTAAATTAATATTATTACTATGCTCTTTTATCTTTATATTGAAACTTAAATCATAATTAAATTTATATTTTAATCCAAGTCCATTGAGACAGATTCATTTGAGTTATTTACATTTGTTTCATGAAGGTTATTTAATCTATAGTGGCCCCAAGCATAGGTGTGAATACCATCCTCTAGAATAAATCGTTTATCATCTTGATGGCTTAGCGATATTTTAGTAATTTTGTCTGTATATATTGTATGCTGCCTTGACCTAAACGAAAACATGGAACCGTAAAAAACCTTTTTGTTATAAAGACATTCTCGATATTTATCTATAGTATACTTTTTTAGGACCGACTTTTTAACTCCCTTAGATTTTTTTACTTCTTCGCTATCAACTACATTGATGGCATACATTTTAGGACGAAGGCCTACAAATTCAACCATTGTTTTTCCGTCATTCTCATCTTTCATCATGCCAAGTTTTTTCTTATTAATTAGAGGAAGTTTATATTTATTTTCTTTTGAAAACCCTGAGGTGTCAAATCTAGCCAATATTTCATCTAAAGATAATTCGGAATACAAATTCCGTCCGTAAAATGTTAATATGAACGAATCTGTATCCATATAATTTAGAATAAAATCCTCACCAAATTTCACTTTTAGAAAATCATACAGAAAATCATACATCACCCACTTTGATAAATCTAATATGCAGAACCCTAAGTACAATGGTCTATCATATTTTACTCTGACATTCCTAATTTCAATAGCAACCATATTTTCGGAGAATATCGAAAGGCTGTGAAAATTTGGCTTCGAGATTAATTTACTAGCAACATTCCTTCTTCTTTGGTTTGCCTCATCTACCCACATTGTCACAATTTTCACAGTTTTTCTTTTGTCGATATTCTCCATTGTCTTACCGAATGAAGAGTTATTCAATAATTTAAAAAAATCTTTTTCAAAGGCATTTTCAGCCTTTTCCCTATGTTCATTATTCTTCAGTATGTAAGGAGCTAACCAAGCGCTTTGTGTGAAAGCCAAAACTCTATGGACTTTCTTAAGAATTAGTCCATGTTTCAGAGATTGCTTAAGTAATTTGTAGTGTATGGTGTATGATGTTTTGTCAGTAAAATCTGCAATCAGTTTTTCAGTTTTTGAGCCCTCAACACACTTTTTCTCCGCCAAAAAAGGTAAATCGTTATGTTTGTCGTGAAGGTGCGGTGGATATTCAATATCAACCTCTAAAATAAAACCAGTAGGAGCGTTGTCAGGAATAGATAATATTACAGCTGGATCATTGAATTTCTCCATTTCATAACCCTCCACCCATCTAAAATCTTTTTCAGGGAGACACTCAGTCATAACTGTACCATATAAATTATTTACATCCAAATAATAGATATTTACCTCTGGTTTGGCACTATTATAATTGGGAGCATCTTCATTATTTGCTACCGAGTGTCTGTTTGAGCACTGGGTAAGCCCTCCCCGAATACCATTTTTGCAGAAATTGTACATGTCTATATCTCTGAGTAGCTCAAGTTCGACTTTAGTACATAGTAGCATTGCATCCCAAGATAGAGATGGTGCTGTGAGATATTGACAAGGGTCCAGTTCGTGAATTCGCATACATAAGCTCCTGAAATTTTCAAATACGTCTGCTAAAAGCAAGACATCAGCTTTTAAGTACAAATCCATGTAGTCTTGCATAGTTTGACATCGAAAATGTGACCAAACATTTGTTGCATGCCTATAATCGTCTGACGAGCATTGAGTATCGGTCAACTTATTATAAAATTGGTCTATAGGGGGAAGTTGTTTCTCCTTCAATTTTTCAAATGATGAAATATATTCGTAGGGAAATACTCCTTTCCTAGTCATAAGTTCGAATGCTTTGTTGTCTTGGGAATTGTACCACGGCAAATTCTATTGGGGATGTTGATTAGGGTAAATTCTCCACGGTGAATTTTAATGGGGATGTTGTCTTGGGAATTGTACCACGGCAAATTCTATTGGGGATGTTGATTAGGGTAAATTCTCCACGGTGAATTTTAATGGGGATGTTGTCTTGGGAATTGTACCACGGCAAATTCTATTGGGGATGTTGATTGGGGGAAATTCAGCACGGTGAAATATATTGGGGATGTTGTCTTTTGAAATGTACCACGGTGAATTATATTGGGGATGTTGTCGTTTGAATTGTACCACGGCAAATTATATTGGGGATGTTGTATTTTGAATTGTACCACGGCAAATTTTATTGGGGCTGTTGGCGTTGGCGTTGCTAGTTTTAATATTAACTACTAGATGGCGCTAAGTTTAGCGCAGGCAAAATCCAAAACTGTGTATGGGATGGTGAAATTTCAAGTTTTAATATTCACCACTAGCAGAGACACCCTCCGAAAAAAACTGTATTATGATCATATCGAGTGGGGCTAAAGAGATTCACCATGTGAGAAGTGAATATAGCAGAAACACATCTGAAAGAGGTAAGTATCCAAGAAAATCATTTTATCTAGATGGCTCTCAGAATGCTTTTGTATAGTCAACATGCTGATTACTGCAGTCAAATGTGCTTATTAATTTATTTGAAAACATATATTTCAAGAAATCGACTTCAATAAATGTGATATATTATAGAAGAGTTTCAATTTACAAATATCCTGCAATTATTGATATATCAGGGGTTTTAATTTCAGCATAGATGAAAATATAAATGAAAATATAGACAAAGAAATGCTCTCACCGTTTATTGTTGTGAAAAGTACGTAATGACATCGAAAAATTCCGGCATAATCAAGTGAAATTCTTGAAAAACGATAACGAAGTCGAGTGGGTTGAACACGAAAATCAGCATGTTGGCTATGCAAAACATGATGAGATAAAAAGACAAAACTAACTTTTCGTTGTACTTATTTTAATTTGTCTATAATTTTAGCGACTCAAAAATGTTCGGTGTATTTGATTTATTTCAACCTGATTTTGGTGTATGGTTGTTGCATTGGGGGAAACTGCATATGGAGATCCGAGTATAACCTCTTCATATAACGTAGACATACACCAAGATGTCATTATTCTGCAGTCTGGAATATCGCTAAATTTCGAACAATTAAATTTCCCATTGGGTCTTAAATATATAAAAAAATTTGAAATGAACAACCCAGAGATTAGCGTAAATGTTTTCGGTTATGAAAACAAGTCGGTCGTTGGTCCATATTACTTAACAAAGGAGACGAAAAGCAATCACATTAATTTAATATTGCTGCACAACGAAGAAAATTTCCATTACATTTTGGTTATGGATATGTCTTGGTAATTATAAACAAAACTTATCAATCAAAACCATATCATAATAATCATGTATTTGTTCTTTTTTTTTCAGTCTTATGCGGTCTCAATTCACAAGTCATAAGGAGAAAGGTTACTTTTGTTTTGGATGCCTGCAATGTTTCCACGATGAAAATAAATGTATGACTCACAAAAAGCAGTGTGGAAAAGTAGTCTGTGCCCTGCCGAACAAAAAAGAAGCCGTACTTAAGTTCGTCAATCACAAGAAAAAGGATAAGGTGCCTTTCGTTATTTATGCTGACTCCGAAAGTGTACTGGAAGACGTGCAGGAAGATGAGAACAATGGGGCGAGTAAAAAAACGGAAAAGGTAAAGAAGCATATTCCATGTGCTTTTAGTTATTTTATTAAATGTAGTTTTAATGAAAATTTAAATAAGTTATTTATATATAGTGGTCCCGACGCAGCAAATGTTTTTCTGAAAGAACTAATTCAGGATTGTAAATTTTTGTATGATAGTTACCTAACCAAAACGAAACCTATGAATACTCTAACCCCCGAAGAAGAGACAGCCTTTCTTAGGGATATCAATTGTCGTATATGTGGCGACATTTTAGGTAACGATAGGGTGAAAGATCATTGTCACTTAACGGGGCAATATCGAGGTGCGGTACATAACCATTGCAATCTGCAATATCATCTACCTAAATTTATTCCAATATATTTCCACAATTTTTCTTCGTACGACTGTCACCTCTTCTTTAAAGAGTTAGTTGAATTTGGAGGTGAAATAAGAGTCATACCTCAAAACAAAGAAAAATATATTTCAATGTCTTATTTCATTAATATGGATAACGAGTCAACCGACTCTAGTTCTTTAAAAAGTACAGTTGTTGTAGGAGAAGAAGAAGATTCGAGTGAGGAAGATGATGAGGAATTCCAGCAAGAAGAGGAAAGTGAGGGCAAAAAAGAGAAGAAAAAGAAAATGAATAGATTAGAGCATCGTTTCTTAGATAGTTTTCGATTTATGCCTACTAGTTTGGATAAATTAGCAAGGAATTTATCTCGAGATTCTTTTGTTGCTGTCAGATCTCATTTTCCTGATGATGAAGCATTCGAACTTATGACTAGGAAAGGAGTATTTCCCTACGAATATATTTCATCATTTGAAAAATTGAAGGAGAAACAACTTCCCCCTATAGACCAATTTTATAATAAGTTGACCGATACTCAATGCTCGTCAGACGATTATAGGCATGCAACAAATGTTTGGTCACATTTTCGATGTCAAACTATGCAAGACTACATGGATTTGTACTTAAAAGCTGATGTCTTGCTTTTAGCAGACGTATTTGAAAATTTCAGGAGCTTATGTATGCGAATTCACGAACTGGACCCTTGTCAATATCTCACAGCACCATCTCTATCTTGGGATGCAATGCTACTATGTACTAAAGTCGAACTTGAGCTACTCAGAGATATAGACATGTACAATTTCTGCAAAAATGGTATTCGGGGAGGGCTTACCCAGTGCTCAAACAGACACTCGGTAGCAAATAATGAAGATGCTCCCAATTATAATAGTGCCAAACCAGAGGTAAATATCTATTATTTGGATGTAAATAATTTATATGGTACAGTTATGACTGAGTGTCTCCCTGAAAAAGATTTTAGATGGGTGGAGGGTTATGAAATGGAGAAATTCAATGATCATGAAACTCTGCAACAACGCTTCCCCCCAAATTCTCATATCCATTTCACAGAAATCCAATTGTTAGTTAATGTAAACAATGGTGTTTCCTTCTTCAAATCCCTTCAATCTTCAATACCGAATTGATGCAGGGTTTGTCATGAAACTCTTTCAGTTTCAATTCTCTCAAATTGCTACATAATGTAAACAAATTCTTCATCGACAAAACTATCAAAAAGCGATCGATATAATGTATCAAAATGCCTGTCCACACAAGAAGAATTTGCTTTGATTGGCTACAGCAGCATTTTTTTAGTGTGTATATGCTACAACATTAATTGGTGGTTAGATGTCGCCTATATCGTTTCGAGGGAAATGACTGGAGAGCCATCTGGACAAAATAATAGAACACACATCTTCTTGTTGACTATGATACTAACCAAATTTGTCTCTGCTATATTCACTTCTCATATGGTGGATCTCTCCAGCCCCATTCGATATGATCATATTTCAATAGTTTTGGAGTGTGTCTATGCTACAACATAATTTATGGTTAGTATAGATAGAACTCACCGTTAGATGTCGCCTATATCGTTTCGGTGGGAATAACTGAACATTTTTGAGTCGCTAAAATTATAGACAAATTAAAATAAGTACAACGAAAAGTTAGTTTTGTCTTTTTATCTCATCATGTTTTGCATAGCCAACATGCTGATTTTCGTGTTCAACCCACTCGACTTCGTTATCGTTTTTCAAGAATTTCACTTGATTATGCCGGAATTTTTCGATGTCATTACGTACTTTTCACAACAATAAACGGTGAGAGCATTTCTTTGTCTATATTTTCATTTATATTTTCATCTATGCTGAAATTAAAACCCCTGATATATCAATAATTGCAGGATATTTGTAAATTGAAACTCTTCTATAATATATCACATTTATTGAAGTCGATTTCTTGAAATATATGTTTTCAAATAAATTAATAAGCACATTTGACTGCAGTAATCAGCATGTTGACTATACAAAAGCATTCTGAGAGCCATCTAGATAAAATGATTTTCTTGGATACTTACCTCTTTCAGATGTGTTTCTGCTATATTCACTTCTCACATGGTGAATCTCTTTAGCCCCACTCGATATGATCATAATACAGTTTTTTTCGGAGGGTGTCTCTGCTAGTGGTGAATATTAAAACTTGAAATTTCACCATCCCATACACAGTTTTGGATTTTGCCTGCGCTAAACTTAGCGCCATCTAGTAGTTAATATTAAAACTAGCAACGCCAACGCCAACAGCCCCAATAAAATTTGCCGTGGTACAATTCAAAATACAACATCCCCAATATAATTCACCGTGGTACATTTCAAAAGACAACATCCCCAATATATTTCACCGTGCTGAATTTCCCCCAATCAACATCCCCAATAGAATTTGCCGTGGTACAATTCCCAAGACAACATCCCCATTAAAATTCACCGTGGAGAATTTACCCTAATCAACATCCCCAATAGAATTTGCCGTGGTACAATTCCCAAGACAACATCCCCATTAAAATTCACCGTGGTGAATTTACCCAAATCAACATCCCCAATAGAATTTGCCGTGATAAATCGTGGTGAATTCCCAACATCCCCATAAGCACAACAACTCTTTCAGTTTCAATTCTCTCAAATTGCTACATAATGTAAACAAATTCTTCATCGACAAAACTATCAAAAAGCGATCGATATAATGTATCAAAATGCCTGTCCACACAAGAAGAATTTGCTTTGATTGGCTACAGCAGCATTTTTTTAGTGTGTATATGCTACAACATTAATTGGTGGTTAGATGTCGCCTATATCGTTTCGAGGGAAATGACTGGAGAGCCATCTGGACAAAATAATAGAACACACATCTTCTTGTTGACTATGATACTAACCAAATTTGTCTCTGCTATATTCACTTCTCATATGGTGGATCTCTCCAGCCCCATTCGATATGATCATATTTCAATAGTTTTGGAGTGTGTCTATGCTACAACATAATTTATGGTTAGTATAGATAGAACTCACCGTTAGATGTCGCCTATATCGTTTCGGTGGGAATAACTGAACATTTTTGAGTCGCTAAAATTATAGACAAATTAAAATAAGTACAACGAAAAGTTAGTTTTGTCTTTTTATCTCATCATGTTTTGCATAGCCAACATGCTGATTTTCGTGTTCAACCCACTCGACTTCGTTATCGTTTTTCAAGAATTTCACTTGATTATGCCGGAATTTTTCGATGTCATTACGTACTTTTCACAACAATAAACGGTGAGAGCATTTCTTTGTCTATATTTTCATTTATATTTTCATCTATGCTGAAATTAAAACCCCTGATATATCAATAATTGCAGGATATTTGTAAATTGAAACTCTTCTATAATATATCACATTTATTGAAGTCGATTTCTTGAAATATATGTTTTCAAATAAATTAATAAGCACATTTGACTGCAGTAATCAGCATGTTGACTATACAAAAGCATTCTGAGAGCCATCTAGATAAAATGATTTTCTTGGATACTTACCTCTTTCAGATGTGTTTCTGCTATATTCACTTCTCACATGGTGAATCTCTTTAGCCCCACTCGATATGATCATAATACAGTTTTTTTCGGAGGGTGTCTCTGCTAGTGGTGAATATTAAAACTTGAAATTTCACCATCCCATACACAGTTTTGGATTTTGCCTGCGCTAAACTTAGCGCCATCTAGTAGTTAATATTAAAACTAGCAACGCCAACGCCAACAGCCCCAATAAAATTTGCCGTGGTACAATTCAAAATACAACATCCCCAATATAATTTGCCGTGGTACAATTCAAACGACAACATCCCCAATATAATTCACCGTGGTACATTTCAAAAGACAACATCCCCAATATATTTCACCGTGCTGAATTTCCCCCAATCAACATCCCCAATAGAATTTGCCGTGGTACAATTCCCAAGACAACATCCCCATTAAAATTCACCGTGGAGAATTTACCCTAATCAACATCCCCAATAGAATTTGCCGTGGTACAATTCCCAAGACAACATCCCCATTAAAATTCACCGTGGTGAATTTACCCAAATCAACATCCCCAATAGAATTTGCCGTGATAAATCGTGGTGAATTCCCAACATCCCCATAAGCACACTACTCCGATGCATTTCTGTTATGTCGCCTGCCATCTATTACCTGATAGAAAAATTAAAGCCCATATGCATTTTGTCCAGTCTTTATAGTTTTATGTCCTTGATTGAACATTTCGTTGTTGCTTGGATTTAATAGATGGCGTTGATAGTAGAAAATATGTTATATCGCCACATCATGACATAGCTTTTCTAAGTTTATGGACCAGATAACGGATGCCATCTTGATATCGAAATTATGTGTATCTATGAAATATTAATAAATGAGTATACTTTTAGGCAAATCAATACATTGAATATATAAGTTGCAACTATTGAAATCTATCACTGAAATTAGTCTTTTGGACGATCTGGCAATTTTTCTTCGATTATCTTCTGATTTCATTTTTTTTAACAAAAATATTTTTCTTTATATATTTCCAGCTCCCAAACCTGCCGCACCCGAGCCCTATGATCCAGCACCAAAATACAGTTTCGGTTATGACATCCAAGATGGTTATACGGGGGATTTGAAGAGTCAACATGAAACTCGTCACGGTGATGTGGTTAAGGGCAGTTATTCTGTTGTAGATCCCGATTGCACAAAACGTACTGTCGATTATACCGCCGATCCACATAATGGTTTTAATGCTGTGGTACGTAAGGAGCCTCTGGCATATAAGGCTCATGCACCAGTACCAGTTCCGGTGCCCGTAGAACCCGTGGCTCATGTTGCACCAGTACCACCGGCACCACCATTACCTCCAGTACCGAAATTGGCGCCTGCCCCTGCCCCCGCTCCAGCACCTTTGCCAGCTCTATATCATGGTTATGCTCCATATCCGGCTGAGGGACCCCACTATGGGCCACATTATGGTGGTCCCCATTACGGGCCCTATCATAAGTAAAGAAGAGGATAACATGTGATTGTGAAAAACAATTTCGAAGCGATTTTTTTATTGACCTATTCTTTATAGACAGCATACGGCGACTTTCCTTTTTTTTATTCTCAATTACCTTTGCAGTATCCTTTTTATAATGAATCTGTTCTGTGATTTATACTGTGTCTCTTGCGTATTTATTTAACTTTTATTTTCAATCTATTGCTCCCAAACTTTAGCACCCTTTCACATTGTTCTCCATTTTTATTATTTTCTAATTTTCCTCCATTTTCTTGCTATTTATGTTTCTCTCATAATAATTACTTAAATATACTGAAAATATATGGCTCATTCAGTCCAGTGTTAAGTTTTATAATATTTGTTCTCATTCTAATTCTTAAACGCAAACTTACGTTCCAACTTCTTTCCTTTATTCTTAATTTTTTATATATATTTGTAATTATATTTAAATATGATTTTTTTACATAAACATGTATTTTAAAAATAATCGTAAACAAATAAAGACAATGTGTGTGTTGTTGTTTTACAAAAAAAATATAAAACTTGCATTTTAATCCGTATAAATTAAAATAATTAAATTTACAACTGTGCTTTACAATCCAAACCTGAAAGGAAAACACAAAAATCGGACTGGGCTGAATATATGACAGTCTGCAACACTCCTAACATTTCACAGGCCTGCTTTGTCCTATAATACAAATGAGAAATTGAAAGAATTAGATATACTGACTGAACTATAATTAAACATAATCCGATAAAAAAAAAAATATTTTCAAAAATAGCCTTTTTCCTTAATAGTAGGGCAGATATAGGGGTTCTGTAATGTTTTGCCAAATTTAAGGATTTGTTAAGCAAAGGCATCAACCGAAATGTCTTAAGCAAAGACATATAATAAAATGGGACATTTTATTGTTTCTTTGATTCAGTTGATGACTTTGGTAGTGGAAAAATATGTCACAATATCGTAAATAAAAAAGGGGTTTCTTTTAATATATATTCTATGGAAAAAATACCTTATATTTTCAAATCCGCTGAAAAGGTGATCTGGAAGTCAATTAGTTCTAAGATAATATATAGTAGGGTTTAGATGGCGGTTCTACTGCTAAATTGCAAAGCCGTATCAAATTACGCTTTGCCAACTTTAAGTATGCATTAAGTAAAGACATGAACCAAGTCGTCTTAAGCAAAGACATAAAACTATAAAGACTGGACAAAATGCATATGGGCTTTAATTTTTCTATCAGGTAATAGATGGCAGGCGACATAACAGAAATGCATTTGAAATTTAAGAAAAATATGTTATTCCGATATCGTCGAAAAATGGCGGACATACGCGGAAAAAAATATCAGGTATGATAGACATGCTCTCAAAAATCTATTCCAGAGCATTTCTTTGCACATTCAGTCGATAAAAATCAACAACAACCCTTAAAAGTGTCAGCTCTGTTAAAATATAACATAATGCTATGTCACGATATCGTGACATAACATACTTTTCCACTACCAACGCCATCTATTGAAGAAAAGTAACAATATAATGTCCCATCTTATTATATTATATGTCTTTGCTGTGATCGATTACATTTTAAAATATAAGTAGCGTGGAGATGGCGGTTCTATCGCAAAATGAATTGCCGTATCATATTTTGTCATATATTTTCATTGATATTAAGTTTTATACTTCCTATAGATGAAATAGCTTCGAATGGCTTTAATTGAATAAAACGCTTAAAAATGGGGTTTTGCAAATCAATAGCCAGTATAAATAATAGTAGAGTAGATATTGCGGTTCTATTCCGTGTTGCCATTTTTTGGGATTTGTTAAGGTGAGCGATGTAATAAAAACTACACACCCTCTTATAGCTGGAAGACTTTTCAAGGATTTTCTACAAATAAAATAACTTTTCAACGACCTACTGTAGATAGAAAGCCTCAAAATAGAGCTATGTAAATCGATATTTTTTATAGATATGTGTAGGGTGAATATAGCGGTTCTATCGCAAAATGAAGTGCCATATCATATTACAGAAACTTTAAAAAGGTGAGGGATGTAGTGAAATAACACTCACTACACGTCGCTTAACGTTTATTGGATAGAATGTTTAAAAATAGGGTTTTGTAAATCAACAGACTTTAAAGATAATAGTAGAGTAGATATGGCGATCCTATACTGTGTAGCCATTTTTTAGGATTTGTTAATCAAAGGCATAAACCAAGCCACATACCTCCCCTCATGTAGCTAGCACACTTTTGAAGGATTTTAAATAGCTAAAATACCTCTTAAACGAACTTCTGTAAATATAATGCCTCAAATTGTTACGCAAATAATTGACAGACCTTCGAATCGTTAGAAATAAATATGATAGAATATGCCTTGCTGCATGCGGTAAATAGATGCCGTTATATTGTATATTTATTAAGAGAAGATCTATATAGAATGAATAAATAAATGATACTTTATTGGGTTTTGCTTAAAAGAAGATCTATATAAAAGGAATTCCTTTAGATTTTTCTTTATAAAAAATTTTATAGTATCCTATAAGCTACGGGTCTTTCTTTTTTTCCAAAAAAAGCTTAAATTTTTTTTAAAATGATTTTATGATACACATACAATTCCTGTTACTTTTATTTGTGGTTAGTATTGGCAACATTATGTTCGTATTTGAACTTAACCCTAAAAGAGCGTCATCTATATTTTGTAACATTACTCACCTTTTCACCTATGAATGCAGTGTTATTCATCGCTATTGGTAACGCGACTTGGTCCGGATCATGCTTTGGAATGTTGAGGAAGAAACGCCATTTGTACCCTACTGATAATTTAACTATATTTATTATAAGTTTAATAATGTAAGTTTTCAATAAATATAAAAAATACAAATATATTGCATATAGACCTTCAATAGATTGAAAATATTCAATATTTTTTCTTTAAATATATGATACACTATGGGCTTTTAATAAGGAGAAGATCTACATAGAAGGCCATATTTTAGATATAAAATAGTATATCTAGTGATCTGTAGGCTACGGATCTTTCTAATTTTGTCCTTTGACCTTTTAGTAATCCTCAAAAAAGTCTGTACTCACTATCCCCAACAACAACAACGCATTCCCCGAGTCTCAAACTAAGCGTAATAATGAGTACAGCAATGATAATGAAGAACAGCAATGCAACAAATGTTCATTAACATGACTACATTTACTGTTTCTAACAACAACGTAACTGAGAATCTATACAAAATAAATGAAACATTAACTAATATTGCTGCTCATGTCATTGAACTCCAAAATAAAGACAAAGAGAAAAGCAGACAGATAAATGAAATGGAAATGAGAGTTAAAAACGTTGAGCAAAAGATGATTGAACGCAACACAGAAATTATGTCGAAGTGAAGGTATAGACAGTTGTTAAATAGATTACAGCTTCTCTCTCGCTTTGGGATCTCTTATCGAATTAAATCAAGAAACAAGATAATTGTACAATTCTCTTCAATGAATAAAAAAAGGAAAAGTGAAAAACTTAAAGAGACACCAAGTCGATGAGTAAACAGAACGTAAACAAATTTTCACATTTCGTCTGATTAGTGTAGCACCATATTATTGCGATATAGATGGGAAAGAATGCATAATACAGTCTAGTTTTACTATCAGGAAATTGAATCAAAAATCTTTTCTCTATTTAGCGAAACCCCTATGACACATAAGATAATTTTTTTCATACTACTAACGCCATTATAGTAATGGATCTTATTATATTATACCAAAGACAAGCAACTATAAAGATCGGACAAAATGCATATGGCCATTTGATTTGTCTATCATGTAAATGATGGCAGACGTTATGACTAAAATATATTAGAAAATTTACCGAAATATGTTATTCCGACATGGTGGAAATCCGGGGACAAGAGTAACAGATATGGTCTCAAAACTCTATTCCAGAGCATTTCCGAGTACATTGAATCGATAAAAATCAGCAAAAATCATATACAATTGTCAGCTCTGTTATAATATACCATTAATGTAATGTCGCGATCTGGTGACATAACATATGTTTCTACTACCAATGCCATCTATTGAATCAAAGTAACAATGAAATGTCCCATCTTATAAAATTATACGTCTTGTTATTGCCAACACAACTTGGTTTGTACCTTCGCTAAACAAATACTGAAAGTTGGCAATGCTGTAAAATGAAATATGATGCCATTTTGAGGTAGAATCGCCATCTCCACCCTACTCATAATATAACTACGTATAAATTTAATTTTTATATCAGGTAATAGATGGCAGGCGACATAACAGAAATGCATTGGAAATTGTAGAAAAATATGTTATTCCGATATCGCCGTAAAATGGCGGAAATACGCAGAAAAATTTTTAAGGTATGGTATCTGGTCCAGAGCATTTCCTTGCACATTGAATCGATAAAAATCAACAACAACCCTTAAAAGTGTCAGCTCTGTTAAAATATAACATAATGCTATGTCACGATAACGTGACATAACATATTGTTCCACTACTAACGCCATCTATTGAAGAAAAGTAACAATGTAATGTCCCATCTTATTATATTATATGTCTTTGGTATAAATCAGACATTCAATTTTACTAAGGTAGATGTCTCCGTAAATAGACCAAATACTGTTTGAAATGTAGGAAGATCGTCCGATTGACTTCGATTTAATATAAATTGGATGAAGTTCTATAGATTGTTTATTAAGAAAAAAATATGTGAACACATTTCTATAGTTAGAAGACGTTCCATAGGTGTTCTCCTTTTTAACAAAAAAAGTCTATTTAATTTTAATTCTTTATTCTTACCTTTTCACATAATTCTCCAAATGAAAAATCCGCCACTTTATAATATTTAACGATTTTTATTGTATAAACGTTTTATTTTGTGTTTTTTTTTTTGCATTATATGATATAATTATTATATAGTAAATTTTGTTTATATATATTTATTTTATTATATTTATTTATATATGAATGATTATTTTCATTAATATTATAATATATATTATTTTGTTTATCATATTAATATAATTATTATTTTTTAAATGTATAATATAATATTTATTTAGAATTTAATTATAGATAGAGAGTTACATTAGATCTATTATTATTATTTGAATGATTTCATGGAGGATATGGTTATAAATATGTATGGATTTAATATTTTGTTATTTTATGATAATTCGTATTCCGTTTTTTAATTATAAAAAATTTAAATAAAAAAATTAAAAAACAAATTGATAGGATTTTTAAAAATCATTTCATTAATTTTAGTTATAGTATCTATCAGTGGTATCAAAAGATTTATGAGTGTGTGAGTTTTGTTTTTTTTTTTCGTTTTCTTTATATAAAATAAATTACAGTTTTAGAGTTATAGGTACAATTTATAAAATTTTTGTTTTTT